ATACGAGGGCAAGAGGAAGCTTTTGGTATAGAATTGTTTGTACTCTGTGAATTGTGAAGTGGCCTGGTGTATGGATATTGTTGTATACACGGGTAGTAAAACATTGAAGATACCAAGATGTTATTGGTATCTCGAGGGAGTAGTGAGAAACATGATGGCACCTTTCTTGAGTAATGGCCATACATTATATACCGATAATGGTACACAAGCCCATTACTAAGTGATTTCATGCGATCGTGAACAAGACAGATGTGGTGGCACGTGCGTTCTAATCGTAAAATAGCCCAGGCTCACGGAGGTGTTCGTGGTGATGACGTGCAGGTTGTTTACTGCCATGACATCATGGCATTACCGGTGGCATGACAAACGACGATCGTCACATTGTTGGAAAAACCAGTCACGTAATGAAATGCAGACAGTGGCAATGGTGATCGATGTGACTAATGAACGTATTCGAAAACCAGTGTCAGTGATTGATTATACACAAAACATGCGCTTGGTTGACAAGTGTGACATGCAGATTGGTTTTGTTGACTGTGTTCGTAAGAGTTACAAGTGGTACATGAAACTTTTCTTCCATCTCATGGACATTTCAATGCTGAATGCATATAATATGTACCAAATAAAGACTGGTAACAGACCACCGTATGGTGAATTTTGTTTGTCTGTTGTCAGACAACTCATAATGAAGTACCAGGTAACAACACCTGCAATACAACATGGTCCTCGAATTCATCACAATATACCCAAGCGTTTGAGGAGAGAAGGTGATCATTTCATAATACAGCTTCCTTCAACTCAAAAGAAATTTGCTCTGAAGAGATGCATTGTCTGTGCACAAACAAAACGACGGCAACAAAGACGCAAAGATACTCGGTTTATGTGTGAGGAATGTAAGGTGCCTCTGTGCATGGTGCCTTGTTTCAAGGAGTTCCACAAGCTCCAGCAGTTCTAAAACCATGTCCAGTGATTGTAAATATGTAAATATATGATAGAACATTAGTATTATACAAGATTTGTGCATGTTTATTGTAATAAACAACAGTGGTAAACAATAATATGATAATAACTTTAGTGCGGTTATTGTGTTCAATACAGTGAGTATATATATATCAATTATATACAGTATTGGTCTCTCAGGCCCCAAATGTTAGTAGGAATAGAAAAAAATTGGAAAAGAAAAGAAAAAAACAACTAAAACAACAAAATAATATAATACGCGTATGTGGAATTCGTCGATGTTGCCGCCACCACATCATTTTCTATAAACTTCTTGGCACTGTATCTCGGTAAATAATGATCAGATTCTAATTTTTTTGTTTTATTACCTTCACAAAAATATGCTCTTTAATTCTGTAAGAAAAAATAATTTTTTTTTTTTTCAAAATTTCTTGGACACTTGTGCGTGACTTCAGATTTTGGCCTTGGACCCTGAAAGGGTTAATTTACAAAAGTAATGAAGTGAACTATAGAAATCACATATAGTAATTATACTAACTAAGGTAACAGGAATCAGGAAAATTTCTTGTAAAATAATTAGTAACTTTTGAAACCCACACCTGAATTGCCATGAACCAGTACAATGATGAAATGTAGGCATTTTAAAACAATTTCCCCTCAAGTTATATTCCAGAAAATCAGCATGTGATGTAAAATCCTGTTAGGTGAAGTGAAGAACAAAAGGAAAAAAAATATGCTTATGTTCCCTTCACCTTCAACTAGACCACCCAAAATTTTTGTTTACTACTGTATATGGGAAAAATTACTACAGGATAACTTAACAATCTGGTAGTGGGTAGGTCTTGAATTTGAAGTACTGTATTGAGAGGGCTGATGTGGGGCCTATTTGGTAGAGGCAGATAGATGTGGTGCTTCTGCTGATGTGGGTGATATGGTGTCAGTAAATGAGGACTGTATTGGAGTGATCAAGTATTCAGTAATGCATCTCTGGTCTGTGTTACCCAGTAGTATTCATGTAGATCATAATAAATTATTATGATATGAAGATGATTTCACTTTTTAAAACATTCAGACCATCTAGCATTAGTCCTTTCACTGTCCAGACCTTATAATTAGTACTGCTCTCAATGTCGAAATTTAAAAAAAAAAATCTTCCGAAATGGTAATCTTTTTCTAAAGGAAATGATACAAAAAGTAAGAAGTTTGACAGAAAACTTATGGATTATGCAGGCGTAAAGTTAGCGGTTTGAGTGCAATTTGTTCATCAGTGATTTCACCCAATATGAGTTAAATTTTAACCCTTTGAGGGTTGCCAGGCCCTCTCAGAGACTTGTTCTCAGTCGCCAAAATTAAAAAAAAAAAAATTATTTTTTCTTATAAAAAGATAGAGAATCTTTTCCCAATCATAATGACACAAAAGTATGAAATTTGATGGAAAACTTATGGAATTATGCTCTCGTGAAGTTAGCGGTCTCGACGATGTTTAAGCATCAGCGATTTTGCCCACTTTGAGCCCTATTTTCGGCCAATTCAGTGTACTAGTCGACAAAAATCATAACTATTTCACTAGAACTCCATTTTTTCTATCGAATGAGTACAAGAAACCACCCATTTACTGATTTCAACTATCCAATAAAGTGGTCAGAATTTAGCAATTTTGCCAATTTCACTCAAATTTCAAAAGATGCCAATTTCCAAATAGGGTCCAGAATAAACAAGAAAGACATTCCTGGCACTAAAATAACATTTCCTCTGTTCATTAGTCACATCCCCACGCCCCTCTTACATTTCTTTTGCTTTCCACTTTGAATTTTTATTCTCACAAAAATTAGAAGATTTACTGTTATGCAGACTACTGTATTAGTGTAGAAATGGTATAAATAATACCAGTGCACTTGAGAAAGAATATTAGATTCACCAGTATTGGATGCGTGGCATGATTTGTTTACTTTTGAACTTTGGCAAAAATCTAACATTTCTGCTACTTTGAGCTCAATTTCAAGGTACGTTTCATTGTGAAACCAATCAAAATCATCTCAATTTCTGTAATATGTCTTCCATTCTATAAAATGAGACCAGGAAAACTAGAATACAACCATAAATACCATATGAAAATACAGTGCAAAGTCGCTGTTTTAAACCAAAAACACAGTTTTTTTTTCTCATTACGCACTGTGTGCTGCAGGATTTTTTTTTATACTGCGCACACTGACCACATAGACCCATTCTTTCATATGTAGGCCTCCCAGCTTCTCTTGCTAGATATGAGGGCGCTAGAATTTATGCGTACTAGTACGTCAAAAACCCTGGCGCGTAAGCTGTACTAGTATGGCCGAAACCCCGAAAGGGTTGAAGAAATTACATAGCTCCAATCAACCAAATTCTTAGCTCTTTCGTTAGTATGCCTTCTTAGCTATTGACTGAGCATAAGATACTGTCTATTCAACTATTAGAACTATACTATAAAGTGCACAGAATTCAGTAATTCTGCCAATTTTACACAAAATTATAAAAAATCTTATTTAAAAATAGAGTCCAAAATAAACAACATAAGACATTTCAGGCACTAAAATAACATTTCCTCTGTTAATAAATAATGTCCCCAGGTATCTCCTATATTATACTTATCTTCTATTTTAAATTCATAATCACACAAAAAAGCAAGAATGACTGGTCATGATTAATGGCATCCCAATAATTGAATGAGACCTATTAAAAAAACATAAAACAGGCTGGAAGGTGTAAGGGGGGGCCTTACCCATCTTCAGGAAACTCTGCAAAAATTTAATATTTCTGATACTTTGAGCCCAAAATTAAACTATTGCCAATTCTTAAACCAACTAAAATCATCTCTGCTTCAGTAGTATATCTTCCATTCTATCAGATACCAAGAAACAGCTAATAAAGCCATCTTAGAAAACATTTCCAAGTCATTATTTTAAACTTAATACAGTGGACCCCCGCATAACGATTACCTCCAAATGTGACCAATTATGTAAGTGTATTTATTTAAGTGCATTTGTACGTGTATGTTTCGGGGTCTGAAATAGACTAATCTACTTCACAATATTTCTTATGGGAACAAATTCGGTCAGTACTGGCACCTGAACATACTTCTGGAGTGAAAAAATATCGTTAACCGGGGGTCCACTGTATAAGGTCAGAGTTTTGCTTTTCCCATCATGCACAGTGTGGGGCAAGACTTTTTTTTAAACTGTGCACACTCACTGCACAAACTGATTCTCTCAAATCTAGGCCAAAATTTACTACTCACAGCTTATCTGAGGGAGCTTTGCTCAAAACATAGATCTACGTGAGGGACCCTACCATTAATAATTTAGATCTACATGAGGGACCCTGGCATTAATAATGTTGATCTACATGAGGGATCCCTGGCATTAATAATGTTGGTCTACATGAGAGACCCTGGCATTAATAATGTTGGTCTACATGAGAGACCCTGGCATTAATAATGTTGATCTACATGAGAGACCCTGGCATTAATAATGTTGATCTACATGAGAGACCCTGGCATTAATAATGTTGGTCTACACGAGAGACCCTGGCATTAATAATGTTGATCTACATGAGGGATCCCTGGCATTAATAATGTTGGTCTACATGAGAGACCCTGGCATTAATAATGTTGGTCTACACGAGAGACCCTGGCATTAATAATGTTGATCTACATGAGGGATCCCTGGCATTAATAATGTAGATTTGTGTGTCAGCCACTAAAAGAGTTAACTTCCTTCTCACAGTTTTATAGTATGATGGGGCTTTTTGCCTTATTTTCTGAGGACTAAGCTTGGCCCCTTCCTTTGTTTCTTCCTAAATTCACATATTCAGTAACTTTTCCAACTTCTGAGCAGGTGACAATTCTCCCATTTGATAAATATCTCTTTTCTATTAAAGATAAAAATATAGGTGAAGCTTCACTCCATCACACACTACCACAATAAATAAATAAAAATGGGATACCAATGCTTTCATGCCATGGTACAATAAATAAAAAAGGGGAACAATCTATGCAACCTTACCAATGCCTTCTTGCCATGGTACAACTCTTAGAATATCATGGTGACCAAGCTCTTCTAAAATCTCAAGAACATTCTTTAGGCTGAGGTCCTTGCTCTCCTCCTTATCTTCTAGCCTGCTGAACACCTCTCTAGTGGGACATCCTCTGTGAAATTTATGGCAGTGCTGGAACAAAAAGAAGATACTCAGCACAAAATATTGATCAAACTCAGCAGTCACCATATATATAAATCATACACAGTAACTAGTACTGACAACTATGCAATGGAAAAGGAACTTTTTTTCAGGAAGTCTTCCTCATCAGAAGCTACTTCAATTCAATATACAGGCGGGCCCCACTTATGGCATTTTACTTATGAAGCGGTTTTCAATTACAGTAGGACCCCTGCATCTGCGGGTCCGGTATCTACTGTTTCAATTATCTGAGGTTCACCGTGACCCAAAAACAACCCTTAATTTTGCTTAACCCTTTGACTGTTGAAAGGCCCAACCCTGAAGTGTCTCCTGGTGTCGCAAAATATTCGAAAAAAAAAAAATCTTATGAAAATGTTAAGATTATTTTTCTGATTGTTTTAGTCGAAAAAAAAATTCCCATCAGTACTTACCGAGATATAGAGGCATGAAGTTTGCAGAAAATGAGCTGCGTATGGCAACAGCGGCGACTGCCGCTCACCTGGTAAACTTTGGTTTACTTTTATTCGACGGTTTCTTGTTTTTTTTTTCACTATTTTATTTTTTCATATAACTTTTGTGGCCTGCGAGACCAAAGAATGGTGCAATGTTCATATATCCACTCGTTGAATGTAACACAATTATAGCAAAAACACTAGTATCATCATAATGTTCATAAAACTTGTTTACACAATGTAAAAAATTGTTTATTACGATTGTTCTATAATATACATACATATGTACAATCACTGGACACTTTTCTAGAACTGCTGCAGCTTGTGGAATTCTTTGAAACATGGGTATAAGCACAATGGTGTTTTACACTCCTCACACATAAAACGAGTGACTCTACGTTTTTGTGGGCGTTTTGTGGTATGTCCACAGACAAAACACCCTTTCTGAGCATTTTTCTTGAGAGCAGTAGCAGGCAGTGGTATGGTACAGTGATCACCAGGCCTCAGACGAGAGGACATTGTATACCTGTATACCGGTATTGTATACCTGTCTTGCACAACTTGTCAGGCACTGCAACATCATGGAATCTTGGTTCAGAGGACATCTACAAGACCTTCTTCACAGCTACTACAACTAACCCATCATTTTGGGAAGGACCTACTTCCACTGGGGAATCCCGCCTATCAGTGACTATGCCCTCGTCTGCTACACGTCCCTACTCACTGACGCCTATATAAGCGCCAGTCTCCTTGCCTCTGCTTCAGAATCTCTACGACCACGGTGCTCTAAACACCACCTCCAAGGCTGAGGGACTGATTACCTCATCTTTTATATATAGTTCTTCAGTTTTCTTATTATGTCCAAAGAATCTGTATTGATAAAGCCACTGGATGGCGAAACATCTACAATGAAGATAACCAGATGTTGCACAAGTGTCTTAACTTTCATCTTCACCAGGTGCCAGATCAACCAGGCTGTGATGGATATGTGGGGCAGCGGGCCTCCAGCAGCAACAGCCTGGTTGACCAGGCAAGCACCAAACGAGCCTGGCCCATGGCCGGTCTCAGAGAGTAGATATACTCTTGAAATTCTTCAAAGCTATATATCAAAGGTCACCTTGCTGCTAATCCCAGATGCAGTCAGCTGGTGGGTTCTGGATATTCAAATGTGGTTGTGGTTGTGGTTGTGCAGGTTGTGGGGTTGGGTGAAGCTGGTTGTAGTTGTGCAGAGTCAGCAGCGTCGGTAGTAGCGTGGCCCGCTGCTGGTGCCACATGACTCATGCCACCATCACTATCACCACCACCGCCTGCTGCCTCACTCACATCATTCATGCTCATCGTAACAATATCGTCATCTTCGCTATCAGGTCGTGGTGTAGGGCAACAGGATGTGCTCCGAGATTTACTCCTTCCCCTTGGAACAGCATATGGCACACTACCAGACCGCAAACTGTCTGGTAGTGTGCCATATACAGTGGACCCTCGACCAACGCTGGCATCGTCTAACGTTAAATCCGACTAGTGATACATTTTAACGGAAAAATTTTGCCTTGACTAGCGCTAAAAAACTCGACCAACACAATCCGTTCCGTCCAAGATGCGTCCACTTGTGGCCAGTGTTTACAAGCCAGCCAGCCACCGCAGTCCCATCCAAACATACAATCGGAATATTTCATATTATCACAGCGTTTGTAGTGATTGCACCTGCAAAATAAGTCACCATGGGCCCCAAGAAAGCTTCTAGTGCCAACCCTACAGCAAAAAGGGGGAGAATTACTATGGATATGAAGAAAGAGATCATTGCTAAGTATGAAAGTGGAGTGCGTGTCTCCGAGCTGGCCACGTTGTACACAAAACCCCAATCAACCATTGCTACTATTATGGGTGAGAAAACGGCAATCAAGGAAGCTGTTCATGCCAAAGGTGCAACTATGTTTTCGAAACTGAGATCGCAAGTGATAGAAGATGTTGAGAGACTGTTACTGGTGTGGATAAACGAAAAACAGATAGCAAGAGATAGTATCTCTCAAGCGATCCTATGTGAAAAGGCTAGGAAGTTGCATGACGACTTAATTAAAAAAATGCCTGCAACTAGTGGTGATTGCAAAGTGAAGCCTTTATTGGTGTATCACTCTGAAACTCCCAGAGTGTTCAGGAAAAACAATGTCCTCAAGGACTTGACACCTCGAGTCCTAATGGAAGGGGGTTCCCCTTCTAAATACGAACACCATCCACATTCCCCTCCTCCCATCCCATCAATCATCACCAGATCTTCATCACCTTCAAAACTACCACTAGAAAACATCTTATCTCCCTGATACACCCCGTCAACTAACTACACGAATACCACCTGGTGGTTCACACTTACACTCACTCATTTGACCATAAACAGAAATATTAATCTCAATCCTAAAATAATGAATCCTGTGATACTCCAATACTGAAACTATGTACTATGCCAAAACAAAAGCATTCACATTGCTAAACTCACAAACTAGTATTTAGTCACTTAGCCATAATACCAACTTGTAATATTTTACAAATAAGAATAAAACTAAGTCTGCCCGAAATGCCTAGCCATGCTAAGCGTTCTAGTGGTACACTCTGTAATCACAATTTTACTACATGTAAACCACACAATAACCAAATTTCTGTAAACTCAGCATTGTAATCCTTATAGAGAATAAACTTTGAATTTGAATTTGAATTTGAAAAGGTAAGTGTCAATTATTCTATTGTTATTAATCTATTGTTATTGTTGTTATTGTAATTATTCTATTGCATTAAACTTAATATTTCATGTGGTAAAATATTTTTTTTCATACTTTTGGGTGTCTTGCACGGATTAATTTGATTTCCATTATTTCTTATGGGGAAAATTAACTTGACTAACGATAATTTTGACTAACGATGAGCCCTCAGGAATGGATTAATATCGTTGGTCGAGGGTCCACTGTACTGCCATAGTGTGCCATATACTGGTATATACTGCCGCTTCACTGGAGAATATTCGCCCTCACTGTCGCAACTAGAACTGCTTTCAAAAGCTTAGAAATCACTATCACTTTCACTTCTCACATCTGAGTCTCGTACACGGGCAAATAGTTTCCTCTTTCATCCAGGTACAGGTGAACATGAACGAGTCAGCCCAGCACCAGAGGTGGAAGGATGTGGGTCATCTGGGTTTTCATCACTAATTACGTTATCCTGGGCACTGTTTTCAGTCACACCCACTTGGAAACCGGGGAATTCACTTTCACTGACACTTTCATCACTGTTACAGCTATCACATGGGAACAAAAGACCTCCAATCCGCCGAGGAGTGAGGAACTTCTTACCGCGAGGCATGGTGAAAATGGACTACCAAGATGTTCCCACAATGCACCGTGGAGTCCCAGATTTTTTTCACAGGGTGCACACCCACCACTCAGACCCATTCTCTCTCATGTAGGCCTACCTCTCCCCTCCCCTGCTTGATTTGAAGCCACTAGAATTTATGCATATAGATACGTCTAACACGGTATCTCGTAAGACGTATATACGTATACGACCGAAACAGTCAAGTGGTTAATAATGGCCTCAGAGTGCAAAATAGTGATGGTGGAAGTTCTTCAAAGCCTAAGAGAAGCCATGAAGCGCTTCCCATCACTGAAGAAGCGATAATTCTCCACTTATTGTGCAAAATTTATCAATTAAACTTTATAATAGGTATGTATGTAAATGAAAAACGACTTATATATAGGGTTCGCTACTATCCATGGTTTCAGTATCTGTGGCAGGTTCCCCAGACATGGGGGTCCTACTGTATATCCATTCTTCATTTATTCAGACTTCCTACAATAAATATATTCACCACTCACTATAAAATAAGGTCAGAAATAGTTTAAGGTAAGTAATGTGTACTGTATATGCATTTTTTAGGCCTAGCTCGATTGCTCACTTAATAATACATATATGATAGTGTTAACATGTTATCAGGCTTTTATATGCATTTGAAAGTGAAAAAAAGGCTATGATTCACTTTGCAATGATTTTCACTTTACAGCAATAGACCGGAACTTAACCTGCTGTATAAGCTGGGCCCACCTGTATGATACAATAAATAAATTTAGGAAGAGATTCAAGTGTTTGCACTGTTTACCTGTAACTGTGACAGAACAAGTCGATGGTGAGCAACAGCACCAAAGTTCACCCATATCTCCTAATACAAAATGATGAACAACAGCACGAAAGTTTACCTGTATCTCCTGATATAACATGATAATAAACAATATGTAGAGAGAATGGAACAAAACAGAATGACTTCGAGAGTGCATAAATCTGTAGTGGAGGGAAGGCGGGGTATGGGTGGGCCTAGGAAGGGTTGGAGGGAGGGGGTAAAGGAGGTTTTGTGTGTGAGGGACTTGGACTTCCAACAAGCATGCCTGAGTGTATTTGATATGAGTGAATGGAGACAAATGGTTTTTAATACCTGGAGTGTGAGCAAAATAACATTTATGAAGGGATTCAGGGAAACCAGCAGGCCAAACTTGAGTCCTGGAGATGGGAGGTACAGTGTCTGCACTATGAAGGAGGGTGTTAATGTTGCAGTTTTATAACTATAGTGTAAAGCACCCCTCTGGCAAGACAGTGATGGAGTGAATGATGAAAGTTTTTCTTTTTAAGGCCACCCAGCTTGGTGGGAATCGGCCGATGTGTTAATAAAATAAAATAATAAACAACAGCACCAAAGTTTACCTGTATCTCCTGGTATCCAAGCCCTAATTTCTCAGCTAGTAATTCCCACTTAGTATTATCTTCATTAATCTCAAACCAAGTTATGATTGAGTAATTTTTATTTCTGTAATCCCAGAAATTTATACTGCTGGCATCTTCAAACCACTTGTATGACCTGCAAAAAAAAAAAAAAAGCAATCAAAAAAAAATCAGTGTTGAGATAAAACACACACAAATATATTAACATGACACCAGAGGCAATTGGTTAATGGGGGTTTAAAGCCTATCAACTACACTACAGTAATTAAGGTTTCATGTAACCTTTTCACCACCAAGAATACATTAAAACCCTAAAATAGTGATTAAAGAAAACTCTCAGCATATATATTCTGAGAGAAATACATCTCTCAATGTACATACCCTGTGATGACGGTGGATGAGCATGATACAGTAATCTAGCTTTATTAAGACTGATGCACTAAACACTACCATTTAAGAGACTGACTGCCATGAACCACTTCTTCATGTCTTCCACCATCTACAGTAATTATTTTCCTCATTAGATCCATAAAGTCACTGGTTAGTGGAATGTCTTCACAATAAAAATGCCCAAATATTGCACATGTGTCTTATTCATCTATATTTATCTACATTGAATTCATTTATATTTTTGTGCTTTATTTATTCTTGCCAATAAAACTTCAGGAAACTCAGTTGACATACCTAACAATAAAGAATAAAAATCTCACAATACCATGGCTGAAACACTTAGCCAAAATTTCACACTGAGGAGAAGAACCTTATGACAAAGCTTTGGTCCATCCTGGTTCACTGTCAGTGTGACCTAACAATGGTTCAGGATGGACCGAAACCTTGTCATAAGGTTCCTCTCACTCTCCTAAATTTAGGTTTTAAGTGAATATCTGACAATGTTCATTAATACCCCCAATCTACGTATTTTTATGCACTACCGAAGACGACTTCATCTAAATGAAACACTGTTTCATTAGCTACATTTTTTCATTTTATATATACCATATTTTGAAACAAAAAAAATATTAAAAATTAACTTACATCAAAATGAAATTTGATATTAAAGATAACCCAAGAGTCCTGATACTCCACCGAAATTTTCTTTGAAATTTGTCCTCCCCCTCTTGCTTAGATCTATTTTCATTTATTAGTGCTGTGTTCTATTCAATCCTGCTAAGAGGTCTTTCATTCACTCTTGCTGTCATGTTCTTGACTCATCATGACTTATCATTACCTATACCACCCTAAGCATCTAACTTGGAATACTTAGAATATTCATGGCCCTACTGAAGGCTCCCAGTTCAGGCTGACAACCATCAATTCTTGCATGAGCCCTACCCTACATGACAGACTGTGACAGAGAAACACAGCTAGCTTTTATTCTCACTGTGTAACTATCATATAGATAAGAGTAGTAACACACTGCTGATGTAATGTATTTTATTAAATAAAAATCTTTGTTTATATAATTTTCTACTTTAATTTACTTTAATACTACTTTTTACCAAATGGCTTATATTGTCTACACTATCTAAATAAATAAATAATAAAAATAAGTAGGCCACAGACAGGGATGTGTAATGTCACCGTGGTTATTTAACATATTTATAAATGGGGTTGTAAAAGAAGTAAATGCTAGGGTGTTGGGGAGAGGGGTGGGATTAAATTATGGGGAATCAAATACAAAATGGGAGATGATACAGATACATTTTGCTGATGTTATTGTGCTTTTGGGAGATTCTAAAGAAAAATTGCAAAGGTTAGTGGATGAGTTTGGGAGGGCGTGTAAAGGAAGAAAGTTGAAAGTGAACATACGTCAGTAAAGTGATGAAGGTATCAAACGAGCTAGGTAAACAAAAAATTGGATATCACATTGGAGGGAGTATGGAAGAAGTGAATGTGTCCAGATATTTGGGAGTAAATTTGTGAGCAGATGGGTTTATGAAGGATGAGGTAAACCGTAGAACTGATGACGAAAAAATGGTGGGTGGTGCCCTGAGGTATCTGCAGAGACAAAGAACATTATCCATGAAGGCAAAGAAGGGAATGTAAGAGAGTGTAGTGGAACCAACACTTTTATGGGTGTGAAGCATGGGTTGTAAATGCTGCAGTGAAGAGGAGGCTGGAGGCAGTGGAGATGATGTGTCTAAAGGCAATGTGTGGTGTAAACTATGCAGAGAATTAGCAGTGTGGAAATTAGGGGGAAGTGTGGAGTTACTAAAAGTATTATTCAGAGGGCTGAGGAGGGTTTGCTGAGGTGATTTGGTCATTTAGAGAGAATGGAACAAAGTAGAATGACTTGGAGAGTGTATAAATCTGTAGGGTAAGGAAGATGGGTTTGGGGTCGTCCTAGAAAAGGTTGGAGGCAGGGAGGTAAAGGAAGTTTTGAGGGCAAGAGGCTTGGACTTCAATCAAGCATGCATGAGCATGTTAGATAGGAGTGAATGGAGACAAATGGTTTTTGGGACTTGGCAAGCTGTTAGAGTGTAAGCAGGGTAATATTTTGGGAAGGGATTCAGGAAAACTGGTTAGCCGGACTTGAGTCCTGGAAATGGAAAGTACAATGACTGCACTTTAACCCTTTCAGGGACCAGAGGCAAAATTTCAAAGTGCACACCAGTGTCCAATAATTTTCAAAAACTAATTTTGTTATTTTTTCTTATGAAATGGTAGAGAATCTTTTTCTGAAGGTAATAAAACAAAAAGTAAAAAATTTGATGGAAAATTGACAAAATTATGCTCTTGCGAATTTTGATGTGTCAGCGATATTTACTCATCGGCGATTTTGCCGACTTTGACTCCCATTTTAGGCCAATTACCTTATTCCAATCGACCAAATTCTTAGCTATTTCACTAGTAATCTTTCTATTCTATCGATTGTGCACGAGAAATTGCCAACTCAACTGTTGCAACTACAAAATAAAGCGATTGGAAATTGGTAATTTGGCCAATTTAGTGCTAAGTTCAAAACAGTCCAATTTCAAAATAGGGTCCAGAATAAACAATGCAGGTATTCCTGGCATGAAACTAACATTTCCTCTGTTCATTAGTTATGTTTTCAGGCTTTACAAATGAATTCCATTTTGATTTTTAATTCACATAATGAATTTTTATTCAAACCAAAAAATAGAATATTTACTGTCATGCAATATTGTAATAATTGTATAAATAATATCAACACATTTGTGAACGTACATTAGACCCACCAGCTGACGTGTATTAGATGCGTGAGGTCATTTCTTTACTCTTAAACATTGGCAAAAATTTAACATTCCTTGTACTTTGAGCTCAGCTTCAAGCTATTTTCAGTAATAAAACCAATCAAAATCATCCCTATTTCTGTAATATATCTTCCATTCTATCAAATGAGACCAAGATTTCGCAAATACAGCTATTAAAAAACATATGAAAAAACACTGCAAAGTCGCTGTTTTAATCGAAAATTACGATCTCAGTTTTTTCTCTCATTATTCACTGTGTGCTGCAGGATTTGTTTTATGTGGTGCACACATACCACATAGATGTATTCTCTCATATCTAGGCCCAAATTTATCAATCACAGCTTATCAGAGTGAGCTGAGCTCATGGCGTAGATCTACGGTTTGGACCCTCAACGTAAAGCCATAGATCTACGGCATGGACCCTGAATGGGTTAAAAATGGGGTTTGGGATGTTGGCAGTTTGGAGGAACATCTAAAATGTCATGTCTGAGTGCCTCAGCAAAGACAGTGATTATGTACAAGTGATGGTGAGTGTTGAATATTAAAAGTTTTTTTTCTGTCTTTTTGGGTCACCCTGTCTCAGTGGGAAACAGCCGACGTGTTAAAAATGCACATGCACGCACATGCACACACACACACAGTCAGTCAGCAGACGTGGGTCACAAGGCTCCGAGAACTTTAGTGGTTTTTAAGGCGTGCAACAACTGCTAGCAGTAATAAGTGGTAGTGACAACGTCAGTGAACAATCCTACGAGTGATAACCAGAGTTATTAGTTAAAAAAAGTCGAGAGGAAGCCTGAAATCTTTAATATTTCAAAGTGTCAAACCGTTAGTGGATAGTAGGCTTCTGTTGCTACACAGATTCAAATATACCAAGATTCAAGTGAGTGTGGAAGCGGGTGTTCAAGAATTTCGAGAGAGATTGGATAACAAGTGAAATGTGGGGCACCATACAGTGAGAGTGAAAAAGTTAATAAGCAAAAGTAGAAAGGAAAATATAATATATAACAAGGGAAGGTGGCAGTAGGCCTGCTGAAACAGTGACGTCACAACAGTTGTGTGACATTATACATATAAAGTGTAACACCGAATGTGAAGTGTATTCCAATATAAGTGAAGTGTATTCTATCATAAGTGACATTGAGGGACGCGGGATGCATGAGCATATACGGTTATAAAGATCACAGGTGAAGAATTTTCAAAATAGTGATAGAAGGCGTGTGTACGACGACTACGTCATCAGCATCTGGCAACTTGTCATCGCATCACTGCCAGCTTAAGTATCACTCACCTGTTGGGGTTGTTTTGGGGGTTCTGAATCCTGCCTTGCGTCACTGTTAGATACTGGTCACTCACTCCTGCAAGCTATTACCAGATTAGAGCAGAAATAGCATAGATAAGGTGAAGATAGTGTTGACTAGCGAGGAGCAGCCTATCGAGGGGAAGCCTAGCGAGGGGAAGCCTAGTGAGGGTGACGTCAGACACTCCTAGAAGCTCAGACAAGCTAAATTTTACAACCTAATTACTTTCTGTGTTTTCTAAGTAGAAGTGATAAGTGCTAGAATCACTGTTGGTAGTTTTAGAAATACGGGTATTACTACTGATATTTATTAGCAGTATGAATACTTAGAAGTGGGGGCACACATACACACGAGCACGCACGCACACACACACACACACACACACACACACACACACACACACACATACATGCACACACACATAAACACACATGCACACACACAAACACACACACACACACCCATATACAGGATTTCACACCTTCCTGTGAAGTGATCCTCTAACCCTTCCTTCCCCCCCCCTGCCTCCCTCTCCCCTCCTCTCCCCTCCTCTCTCTCTCTCTCTTCCTCTCTCTCTCTCTCTCTCTCTCTCATCCTCTCTTCCTCTCCCTCTTCCTCTC